GTAACGAGGTTCTGTACCGTTATTAAGAAATAAGTATGAAACCAGCAGAAAACACAAACTCCTATAACTGCAGTTCTAGTTATATAACGATTGTAAGCATAAGGATAAACTACTGCAAGGAATCGGTCCACCTGTGCAGACATGATGGTCAGAACATTGACTCCCAGTAGCGAAGACACTATGTAATAGGTGCCGTTTCTGGAAGGAAAACCCTCCTGAACATCAAACAGTCCGATGTAGTAACCGCCTACCCCAGACAGAGTGTCGCTTATGCTGGTGTTCAGCATGAAAATAAACCTGTTTTGTCCACGGAGTGACTTTTTACAAATAATACCCAACACAACCGAACCAGCCAAGAGAACCGAACTTGTAGCAATTAGCAGGTTGACTATAAAAATGAAATAATCTTCAGCTTTAGTGAAGTCCACCGCTAACGGCACAGTGAGGTTCAGAGAAACCATCGCGTGGTGAGATGAGTATCTGGCGATGTCGCTCTTGAGTTTTAACAGGCGAAGAGGACGCAGGAGATGTGCCTCGTTAACACGATCGAAGCACGTCTTGGGTTTCAGGCCTGCAGGGAATAATTAACTTAGGATCTGAGAATCTGAAAGTAGTTTGCATTTTATTAAACGTGACAGCTGCATGTAAATAAGAGGTATTGTATATATTTTTTTTTTAAAATGACTGAATGGACAAAATTTAGAACGTTGAAGTTAGTGCCTTTCTGTACAAAGAAGCATATTTTAAAACTCCGTATTTTTAAAACTTATAAATGATCAATTTGGAAGCACAAAAGATGATACTACTGTGTCATAAACACGAATTTACCGAAGATGATAGAAGAATAAATGTCTTTCTCTCGATTGTATTCTTTATCGTGTTGATCCAAAAAAAATCACATACTGTATATTGTAAGTATACATTATAGTATTTCGTCATGCCTTTCGTTTTTATTTTTACTTTAAATATACCCGCAGTCTCAACATCATTATTCTTGTAGTTGTGGACACAATATTCCAGCTGTTTAATTTTATACAACATTTAAGCTTCTCTGTCCAAAACAAGACTGTAACAAAAAAAGTTCTTTTTTTCATAGTAAAGTAATGGATGTACAAAATCGTCCGTTTAAAAGTGACTTTATTCTGCTATGTTACGTTTGACACAAACACTTTATTTTCGGTGATCTACAATTTTGTGAATACACGTGTATACAAAGACACTTACTTTCTATAAAAATACTATGAACTGAGATTTCCAAAATAATAGGCCTCCTGTACACAAGTAGTGGACATTTAGTCGTCCAGGTTGCGAAATAAACTTAGCCCTGCCCAAACGTCTCCTTCTCCAGGTGACACTTCACTCGGGACCGATTAGCTATTTTCTAGAGAGACTAGAGATTCTAGAGACACTCGTGCTCTCTGTAAAATACTTAGAGCATTTGTAAATATGAAGTGTTCATATGACGCAAAGAAATACTTCTAGTAAAATAAAATCAAATTTGTTGATTTTTAACGGTACGACATTTGTTGTTTTTTTTTAATGCAAAATCTTTAGATGTATTTCTGAAGTTCAAGAGCGGGGGTAGTTGTGGAATCAGGGCGCGTCAGTGACATGACCCCTCCCACGTGTTCTGTCACAAGACGCTCAAAATCACGTGGAGGTGGCTGCTGGGAGTGTGTATGTGTGACTGTGAGCTTCGTGGGATTGTAGGTGCTTGTGTGTGTTCTGCATCCTATTGTATTCACCTTATGAGGATACATTTCAACCCTCTTTGTTTAACATTGACGCCAAGATCACTGTCGCAGTCTGGCATTTGAAGAAGAGATGGGCTCTCAGGTACTGCTGGAGCTGACAGGGGATTCTTGTCAGAAGAGGTGATGTGTCTGGTGCTCAGCTTCTCCATTCGTACCAGTCTGTAAGAGTTCATAGTTCATGTATACGTCCAGAATTCTATGGACTGTGTGTTACTTACATGTGCTCTACATCCGTGCATGACGCTGGTCCTTTCTAAAATAAATAGGATCTCTGTGAGATTTAAGGTGGATCTTAAGGTTGTCCTCTTCTAATATAAAGCATGAGTATAGTCTGAGATTAGGATATTCAGAAGGGAATAATCAGTAGAAGTCCAGGCTCTACTAAATAAACAATCGAATCTTCTCACGTTCAGTAGCACAACTGCAGAATTCACTCAAGCCCACTGGAGATTGCGACTGTGACATTTGGATATCTTTACTTCTGTAAGGTGTATTATATGCACATCATCCTAGAGTGCTTTGAATTTTTTGAAGAATAATCAGAAGTTAAAATGATAACATTTTAATACCACCACCATATGATATAGGTGACCCCAAGATTTGAAGTTAACCAGTACTTTTGTATTGTTCTTTATACTTATACTAAATCTTAAATCTGTGGATCGTTTCAGGCCTGCAAACCAATC